AGCCACAACGTGCGTCAAACATATCAAGCGTCACTCAACAAAATATGTATAAACTGGCACATAACATCAAGCATCATACAATTTATTTAGCCTATCCTATAGTAAGGCCACTTACTTGGTTGACCTTGGCCGAAGTACTCCCTAAATCGCTAAACGTAAGCTCCCGTTCCGTGAGAGCTGCTCCCTACGTCCCCGGGGTTTGTTTCCTATCACACCGTCCACCATATTTCGTTAGTATTTCACAATTAATTTACCTATAATTTAATAAATGTGAAATACGGCTCTGAAACGGCATCAGATACCTTAATCGGGGCCGAAAACAGATTTGGGAGGGTCGGAACAGTGGAAATCGAGCTGAAAATAGGTGAGCCGAGCCGAACGCCGCCGGAGCATCGTTGGAGGGAGCCCGAGCCATTTGCGCCGAGCCGAGCTGAGGGACTGCCTGCGCCGCTGTGTGACACGTGGCAGTAGCAGAGAAAGCCATGTCGGGCGGCAGTGTCGGGTCGAAGCGCAGGTCGCAGTCCGATTCAGGTCGTGGTTCGGGTCGTGGGCTGTGGAAGGCTATTAGGCCAAGACTAATCGTTGGGTCTCGGCTTACTGGGCTGGACCGCAGGAGTTTGGTTTGCAGGCCGGCTCAATTGGACCGTGGGTCTAGTCTGGGTTGGTTCAACTGAACCTTAGCTTCTGGGCCGGTTTGAGGTTTGGGCTGCTGTAGTTGGGCTGGGCCAAAGGCAGAGGCCAAGGGAGGAACGGGCTGGCTCTCCCGGGTTCTGGGTTCGGGTTGACCCGGATCCGTGGATCTCGTCTTCCTTACCCGACTTTGGCCGATTTTCCGGCGAGCTTTCTCTCTCCTTCCCGCGGCGTTTTCGTTGCCAATTTCGGTCCTCTTCCTTCCCTTTTCCTCTTTGTTCTTCGTCCTTTTCTTTCTGGGAGTTTTGCGGCCTAAAAGCTCCTAAAAGCCACAGATCTAAGAATCGATTAAGAAACCTAATTTTCTAACCTCGGTTACCGACGACGACGCTTACAAAATGACACAAAACGCACCCTGAGATATTGTGCTTTCGTTAGGGATCCCTCTTATGGTGGTAACAGATCGTTTGGTGTCGGTTTGAGGGTGGTTTGAGGGTTCGTCGGAGAAACTGGACACTCGCCGACGTTTGTCCGAAATCTCTCTCTCTCTCTCAAAATTTTCTCTCTTTTCTCCCTTTGCAAGTGTTCTGAAGATGCTGGGTGTCGTGGGCTGAGGGTGGCGTGCTGTGGCCGTCGTTTCGTGTGGGTTCCACGAAACTTGGCGGTCGCCGGAAAACTCGCGGGTTTTCCGGCGACTGAGTTTTTTTTGTTTTTTTTACTTTATTTTATTATTTTATTTATTTATTGTTATTATATGTATATATATATATATATTTTTTTTTTCTTTCTTTCCCGGGTCGTTACATTATCTACCCCTAAAAAGAACTTTCGTCCTCGAAAGTCTCAAACTCTTGTACCAACTCGGGGTATTTCTCTCTTATTTCGTCCTCACGCTCCCACGTGGCTTCCTCACTGTGGTGATTCCGCCACAGTACCTTAACGAACGCAATGCTCCTGTTGCGTAAGGTTTTTACTTCTCTAGCTAAGATTCTTACTGGTTTTTCCTCGTAGCTCAGATCTTCATTGAGCTGGAGTGGTTTGTAGTCTATAACGTGGATAGGATCCGTGATGTACTTCCTCAGCATCGACACGTGAAATACATCATGTACTCCTGAGAGAGCTGGAGGTAAGGCTAACTTATACACTACTAGACCAACTCGCTCTAGGATCTCAAATGGTCCAATGAATTTAGGACTTAACTTGCCCTTATGCCCAAATCTTAACACACCTTTCATAGGTGCCACCTTGAGGAATACTGGGTCCCCCACCTCAAACTCCAGGCTTTTACGCCTTACATCGGCGTAGCTTTTCTGTCTACTTTGAGCGGTACGCATCCTCGCTCGAATTTTCTGGACAGCCTCATTGGTGAGTCGAACCAACTCGGGTCCTACTAATTCTCTCTCTCCTACCTTGTCCCAACGTAGTGGGGACCTACACCGTTTTCCGTACAGGGCCTCAAACGGTGCCATTCCAATAGTTGCTTGGAAACTATTGTTATACGAGAATTCCATCAGGTGGAGTTTGGAATCCCAACTTTCCTTAAAATCTAGTACGCAAGCGCGTAGCATGTCCTCTAGAATTTGGTTTAAACGCTCCGTTTGTCCATCTGTTTGGGGGTGAAAGGCGGTACTAAAGTCGAGGCGGGTACCCAGTGCTTTTTGAAGTCCACGCCAAAACGCTGACGTAAAGCGGGGATCCCGATCCGACACTATAGACACTGGGACTCCGTGTAGTCTTACTATTTCTTTCACATACAGTTGTGCCCAATTGTCAACTGTATATGTGACCTTCCCGGGTAGGAAGTGTGCCGACTTGGTCAACCTATCGACAACTACCCAGATCACTGTGTAGCCTTTGGGCGTTTTGGGTAAACCTACTATGAAGTCCATCGCTATGTTTTCCCACTTCCACTCCGGTATGCTTAGGGGCTGCAACAACCCCGCCGCCTTTTGTCTTGGAGCTTTCACTTGTTGACAAACTAAGCACTTGCTCACAAACCCGGCCACATCTCTCTTCATGCTCTTCCACCAAAAGTGTTGTTTTAAATCTTGGTACATCTTAGTACCTCTTGGATGCATGAAAAATGGTGAGTTGTGAGCTTCCATCAGTATTTCCTTCCTTAAATCTTCTATTGCCGGAACACATAAGCGTCCCTGATACAATAGTCCTTCATCTGATGACTTCGAGAATCCATCTACTGGACTTTCGTCTAGCTGTCCTAGGACTTTCTGTAGGTTAGGATCCTCTCGTTGGGAGGTAATAATTCTCTGCCTAAGCGTAGGTTGTACCGTGAGTCGGGCCAGCTGTGCTACGACTCCCTCGGTCGCTACAGCTATGTTGGCTCGCTCGAACTCCCTTTGTACCCTTACTTCCCTCGTAATGAGGGCCGACGAGTGGACCGTCTTCCTACTCAAGGCATCTGCAACCACATTTGCTTTCCCAAGGTGGTACTGGATATCTACGTCATAATCCTTCACCAATTCTAACCACCTTCTCTGCCTCATGTTTAACTCTTTCTGGGTGAAGAAGTATTTCAAACTTTTGTGGTCGGTAAAAATTTGGGTTTTTTCGCCATACAGGTAATGTCGCCAGATTTTCAGCGCGAACACTACAGCGGCCAACTCTAGGTCATGGGTAGGGTAGTTCTTTTCATATTCTTTAAGTTGACGAGATGCGTATGCGACAACCTTGCCGTGTTGCATTAACACACATCCCAGTCCTTTCATGGAGGCATCACTATAGATCTCATATCCTTCTGAGCTCTCGAGTACTATGAGTACCGGGGTGGTTACCAATCTCTCTTTTAGGTTCTGGAAGCTTGCCTCACAAGCATCATCCCATCTAAATGGCACCCCTTTTTTTTGTTAACTTTTTTAAAGGCGAGGATATTTTAGCGAAGTCCTGCATGAACCTTCGATAATATCCCGCCAATCCTAGGAAACTCCTTACTTCCGTTACCGTAGTTGGGCGTTCCCACTTTGTGATCGCTTCGACCTTGGTGGGATCTACAGATATTTCGTCCTTTGACACCATGTGTCCTAGGAAAGAGACTTGTCGTAACCAAAATTCGCATTTGGAGAACTTGGCGTACAACTTGTGCTCTCTTAGGGTGGTAAGGACTTTTCGGAGGTGTTCCTCGTGCTCTAGGTCAGTTCTCGAGTATATGAGGATGTCGTCAATGAACACAATCACGAACATGTCTAGGCATTCTTTGAATACCCGGTTCATTAACTCCATAAACACAGTTGGGGCATTAGTGAGGCCAAATGACATCACTACAAACTCGTAGTGACCGTACCTTGTCCTAAACGCTGTTTTTGGTACGTCTTTTTCATTAATCCTAATTTGGTGGTAACCGGACCGAAGATCTATCTTAGAGAATATTGTTGCCTCTCTGAGTTGATCAAACAAGTCTTCTATTCTAGGTAGAGGATATTTATTTTTTACGGTTCTCTTGTTTAGCTCTCTATAATCGATGCACAGACGCATCGATCCATCTTTCTTCTTAACAAACAACACTGGCGCACCCCAGGGGGACACGCTAGGTTGAATGAATCCTTTATCTAGTAAGTCTTGCAATTGCGCCTTAAGTTCTTTCAACTCTGCTGGCGCCATGCGATAGGGTGCTTTGGAAATAGGCCCAGTTCTCGGCTCGAGTTCGATGACAAAGTCGACCGCTCGGGAAGGGGATATTCCAGATAAGTCATCCGGAAATACATTCGGGAACTCGTTTACTATTGGCACATTTACTAGGGTCTTTTCCTTTCCTCTTACGTCTACAACACATGCTAATATAGCCCATCCACCTTGTTGGACTAACCTTTTTGCTTTCATCATCGAGACTACCTTGGGGGTAATCCCGATATTTGTGCCTTTAAATTTAAAGGTAGGTCCTGTCGATGGTGAAAATTTTACTTCCTTTTTGCGGCAGTCTATACTAGCTCGATTTTCAGCTAACCAATCCATGCCTAGTATGGCGTCAAAATCTGTCATGTTTACCACCATCAGGTCAATGCTTAAAGTTTGGTTCCCTATGATTACTTGGCCATCCTTTACTCTATCCCTAGATACTAAGTCTACCCCCGCAGGGGTGCTTACAGACATTTCATGCAATAAGGGTTCTAATTCGAACCCTGCTTGTACAACAAAAGGCATTGAAATAAAGGAATGCGTGGAACCAGAATCAAATAAGGTAAAAGCGAAATGACCTAAAATGGATAGTGTACCTGTCACCACGGCGTCGGACCTCCCAGTGTTCCTGCTGGTTGACGCGTAGGCCCTAGCTTGAGCTCGCGATGGTGCTAGTTGATCCGTTTGCTCTACTACTTTGGGCGGGTTTGCTTGTGCTGCAGCATTTCTGGCCGTGCAGTTCACGGCGATGTGCCCCTCTTGACCACATCTATAACACGCTCGGCTGCCAGCCATGCACCTCCCACCGTGTAGTCTTCCACAGATAGTGCACCTTTCCTCCTCCCTCTGGCCCCATCTTGATTCCTGGGGTTCCTGTCAATACGTCGGGGAGGGCGTCGCTCATCCCATCTAGGAGCGGGTCTGTTATTGGAACGGTGCCTATGTGCTGGTGGTGGACGGTCAGAGCCTCCTGATTCATGAGGACACTTCTGCCCAATTATAACTGGCTCTTCACGCCGTTTCTCATCCTTTGGTTTCTCTAAAGCCTTGGCAGTTCTCAAGGCTTTCTCATAGGTCTTTGGGTTGAACGCCTCCAACATGCAGCGGATTCTTGGTACCAAACCCAATACAAATTTCTCTGTCATCTTTTCCTCAGTGTCCACCATGGACGGTGCGAATCTCTTGAGTCTATTAAACTCTCGGTTGTACTTCTCCACTGTGAGTCTGCCCTGTACCAGGTGGGCGAACTCCTGCTGCTTTTTAAGTCGCTCTGACTTAGGATAATATTCTTTAAGGAAGGCTTCCTTAAATCGTTCCCAGTTCATTGGTTCCCCTTCTGGGTTAAGAAGGGTCTTGTTATCTCTCCACCATATCTCTGCGTCCTTTTGTAGGACGAAGGTTGCATAGGCAACCTTTTGGTTCTCTGGGCACTCCATAGTCTCAAAGGTGGTTTCCACCGCTGCAATCCACATTTGGGCTTCTATGGGGTCTACTAGGGAACCAGTGAATGGTCGAGGGTCGTATCTCTTGAAATCCCTTATCCAGTTTGAACATCTAACAGGTTGTGGAGGGTTTACTGGGGCATTGGACTGAGCAGTGGCCTGTGCCTGTGCCTGTACCTGTGCCAGTGCCAACGCCTGTGCCTGGGCCTGTGCTTGGGCTTGTTCCTGGGCCTGTTGTAGACTGGCTTGCTGATTGGTTACCAAGGTTTGAATTAGAGCTTGGATCGAGTCACACATTAACCTAGTATTAGCATCTACTCCACCCATTGGGGGTGCAGCTTCAGGTACGACTTGGAGTGGTAGGGTAGGCTAGGGTGGAGGTTCTACTGGTGGTGGAGGCTCAGAGTGTAGTGGAGCTTGAGGAGGTAGCTCAACTGGTGGTAAGACTGGGGGCGGCGTAACTGTTATCGGCCCAGTCTCTGATCTTTCTTGAGGTGGGCCCCCTACTGCCACACCTCGTCCTACTTCTCTACGACGGGGTCGCCCCCATCCTCGTCTTCCTCTTCCTCTACCTCGTCCTCTGGGCATGGTTCTATAAACCAATATAAGGTTGCTTAAGTCTAAGGCCTTAATACTATGCATATATATAAATAACAATACCCACATAATACAATACATCGTAACGCCAAAGAAGTAAACATTCATCATGCTAAGCATCATATCATGCTACTAACAAAATTACTCAGCATGCAACACATGACATCATACTTTTAAATAAATACGTGGAATAGCACAACCATATCAGTAATGTCAACATAAAAAAAAAAATGCATGCGAGTTTTAAAACGTTTCTCTTTTCTTATCTTATGCAAGGCGTACCTGACGGTGACGGGGCATCGATGTTGGGACCGTGGAGCGTGCCAAGCCTACATCGTAGGCTAGTCTACAGAATCTAAAACCTAGAGCTCTGATACCAACTGTAACGACCCTAAATTTCCACATATCTAGAGTCGCCACTAACGTCTCATGCTCATCTCTAATGCAGAATAAAAATCTAAGCATGCTCATCTTTATTAGCGGAAAAATTTAAAACTTCAGAATACATTAAAACATTGAAAAACACTACCGGACTTACGTGTTTCAAACATTGTGCTGGAGTTCAAAAAGATAAAATAAAACGATTACAAATTAATTAATATAAATGAATGAAATGCAAACGCCCTATCCTAACCAAGACTAGGAATTAAATATGCAACTATCCTATGCACGCGCCACAGTCTCTGATCACGATGCCACCGTCAACCGTACATGGGCGCCTTGCCTTTACCTGAAAAAAAAAAAATAATATGGCACACGGCTGAAGAAATACTCAGTAAGTGACCCCACTATAGGGGCCATGCTAATGCAAACACATGCAATCATGAATAGGGACCTATCTCTAATCATCTTAGGGGTGGCCTCCAATCTCGGACAAATTGGATGTGTAGTACTTCCCTACACACGACTCACACGTGCGAATGTGAGTCCCCAGGGTGCTCGCACACCCCCTGGACCCTCTGGTCAAGCTAATCTGTAGCGACGTCCGGAGGTCAGCGGAACCCCATAGTGTCATGCGCCTCATGAACACTCTCATCTGTGTGCTTTTGCACCTGTGCGCATTCGCGCTCATCGTAAGGTGCGCGTCCGCACTCATCATCTCTAGGGGAAGTAACCCTATGCTTATGAACATACAAAATGCATGAGGTCCCTCTAAATCCATCGTAATGTCTCTTCTGACACAACCCTCTAGTCTCATCTCTTTGTTACTCTAG